AATTGAAAGAAACAAGAATGACAACATTTAGCTATGTTAATCCTATCTTCAATAAGAGCTCCAAAAGACACGTATTTCGTTTCTCCTCGGTTGAAAGCTTGGATGATTGGAAGACAATCTCCTTCGAATATGACATCACCCCAACCTCGATCCTTCGCCATCTTGATAGCCATAACTGCCGCCATGGCTTCTACATCTATGGGCCACGGACCACCAGGAAATTTCGCCACTCGCCACCCCATGCACGTACCTTCGTGATTTTGGGCCGCCTCTCCGAGTGTAAAGCAGCGCTGGGTATGGGTAAACCCAGCATCAAAGTTCATTTTGGTGAAGCCTGCCGCTGGAGGAAGCCAGACCGTTGGGTGGATTGCCGCTGCCATTTCACCATTTGGCCGGAGAGTTGCTGCCTTGAAAATCCTCATATAGTGCTTACTCCATGTCACGATGTCTTTCACTGCCACCACGTCTCCTCCATGTATTCTCTTATTCCTGTTCTCCCAAAGCTTCCAAATAACGACCAAAGCTTCTAAATAACGACCCTTAAATTCCCCTGAGTCTACAGCTCTAGTTAGGAGAGCGAACAACGCCTCCGCACAACTTATAAACAGGTAAGGGGATAAGGGATCCCCCTGCCTTAACCCTCGAGATTGAGTCACCGATCCAAACTGCGAGCTATTGAAAAGAAAAGAGAATGAGACCGTAGAAATACATAACATAATTAGGTTCACCAACCGATCCGGAATACCAAAACGAGAAAGAATCTTCCCCAGAAAAGACCATTCAATGCGATCATATGCCTTACTAATATCAAGTTTAAGAGCCATATAATTAGTTTTCACCCTAGAATTCAACTTAATAAAATGATTGATCTCATAAGCAATAAGAACATTATCAGTTATTAACCGTTTTAGCACAAATGCTGATTGACGAGGAGTGATCAAATCATTAAGCACAAGTTTAAGACTATTAGCCAATACTTTGGAACCCATTTTGTCTCTTAAAATAGCATATATTCGTTGGACAAAATCTAAAAGGAAATTTAATGTGTAATGTACAAACCAATTGAGCGCGTAGAAAATGGCCACGTATGGGCGAGTGGGACATGGGAGCACCACTTCAAGTGGGACCGACCAACCGTTAAGGTTTGAGGTTTGAGTGTTCTTCCCCACATAATTTTATATTGCCTGTTTTAATGCCCGTGACCTGTACAAATTTAGCTTCACCATAATTTGCATCTCCACCCCTCATACTTTACAAATTTACGTTTTGAGCCCAAAACCATTGTCTTTGTTTGGAAAAAAAACATTGTTTCAATATATGCGTTCATTGGTTAAGTAAATCGGTTTTTTTTTCGAGAAAGTTAAGTAAATTGATTAAACGAGTCGAACAATCGAAATTTCAACACATACTGAATGACGGAGAATTTTGGGAATTCGGTTCTGATACGGGCTTGTTTGACAATTAACAAATAAGCATAAGCCCATTAGGGTAAGTCCAATATGATAGGCCCACAACGAAGAACCCATGACGACTTAGCTCGGTAGTATGAGCGAGGTCGCCGTATGGTGCGAACCTCGGAACCACGTGGGAGTACCTTAACTCGCCAGCCCAGTACCGAAACGGGGTAAGGCGAGCCCAGGACAGTACAGGCCCAAGATACATGACTTGGGGGAAAAGAGAAACCCTAAAAAAGGAAAGCCTTGAAGGCCAAGCTTTCCTCATCTATAAATAAGAGAATCAACACACACATACACACACGAAACATATACACTAATTACTATTACACTATATACACGTCTTTCCCTTTATTCCGATCACTGACTTGATCGTCGGAGCTTTCCCGCCGGGAACCCCTCCCGGCGTTGCAGGTCTATCCACCGGAGTACGGACGGAGCTGGCTTGAGGAAGACGAAGACCTACGGACCAAATCAGGTTCGGTATTCAATTATTTGGTTTTGTAAATTTTGGAATTTGGTACGTAGTCAATATTGATTTTTTTTATAAATAGAGTTTTAAATATTATATAATACATTTTTTTTATTCATGAAGCATATTAAATATTTTTTATTAATTGCATATTATAAATAAATAAATATTTAAATTCATAATTATCATTTTTAATGTTTTAAAAAAAATTGTGGTAATTAGGTAATTACCGTACCACGCGAAGCCTATATTTCAGTTCCGTTTCGGTTTCAATATAGAGTTTTACTGAATCAACACCCCTGGATTATTTCTTGTAAACTTCAAGAAGTTGAAGGATTGGAGTGATAATTATCTGAACTACATTGCCCACGATGCAAGAATTCTTTATTGCCTACCTGGCCAAAATATTCTATATTTATGATGGGTAGATTACAGCCACCCGCTATGAGGTGATGATAAATTACGAAAAAATCCCTCTTGTTTAGATAATCAGTGCCGGCCCTGGGCAGAAGCCACGGAAGCCATGGCTTTGGGCCCCCAATTTTTGGAGGGCCCCACAAGAAAAAAATTGTTATAATATATGAGATAATTTTTTTTATATATATAAAAGAATGTACAAATCTTATAAAATAAGATTAACTCAAGGGCCCCACATGGCAATATTTAGATAGATATATGTAAAATATATGTACGTATATATAGAAAATATCAAAAAAAATTATGAGAAGTTTTGGTTTTTCCTTTTTTTTTTTTTTTTTTTTTTTTTTTTCTTATCTCTCTTTCTTGTAAACTCAATTACTTCTTTTATGAAAATGGCTTAATATTAAGACTTACAACTGCACATAAGGAAATTCGAACTTTTATATATATAAAAACGGGCCCCGATTTTTACTTCGTCTAGGGCCCCCTAAACCCTAGGACCGGCCCTGTAGATAATTATAAGGCGGCGGTTATATGCAAGCCCATTTTTTTATTAATTCAAGACCTTCAACATAAAAATACTAATTTATCCTTAGTGCAATTTAAAATCAAATAAAAAACACAAAACATTAAAAGATAAAAAGAAATCATTTCCTTTGTGCAAGACCAAATAAAATACATAAATCCAGAAACCCCTCTTCCTTAATTCACGACTTAAAACTCTCCTTCTTCACAAACCCACAAAGAAATCCTACACACCAAAATTATCAAATACATACCAAACATTCACGATGGAACTAGAAAACAATGATATGGTGGTTTACGAGGGTGGAGAACACAATGAAATATGTTTTAACCCTTTATTTTTGCTTTTGGGTCGTTTTTTTTTTGTTGGGAAAAAAATTCGACGATACCAAAAATCGGTCTGCAAATACCGATTTTTGTTACTAAAGTCGGGAACCACATTCCGATTATTTTAATAAAAATCGGTACTTAAACACCGATTTTTGTAGTAAAAATCGGCATGACAACACCGATTTGTTTTTGTATTATCGGTATTGTCATGCCGACTTGTACTATAAAAATCGGTTTTTAAATACCGATTTTATTATCTGTGTTTTTTTAAGACCGTTTTCTCATATTTTCGTGCATCAACCTAGGGGATTGATGGAGGATTATTCAAATGAATTATCTAACGAATAAATATTTGAGATACGGAAAGCACTACTCGATTGGGTTAAAGGCGTGGTAGACGTCACCGAATGGTGATAAACATTTTCGTTCCAAATATTTAAAAAATATCAATTAACCAAATATATAATGTATTATTTAAAAAAAATCAAAAAATATCGGTATTCGAAAACCGATTTTGTACTCAATAATCGACATTAGAACGCCGATTTTGACTTGTAAAGTCGACGTTGTGTCGCCGATTTGGTTAACAAAAATCGGTATTATAACGCCGATTTTCGTGTACAAAATCGGTCTGGATAAACCGATTTCGGAAACCAACGAAAAAAAATAAAAAAAAAAAAAAACAATTTCAATCTCAATTTTTTTTTCCAAAATCGGCCAAATCATTGCAACCCAACAAGAAATAAGCATAGATTAATGTTCATTCATACATATTTATCAAGAATCGATGTTCGATTAATGTTTTCGAATTTACAAATAAAAATTTAGTAAAAAGGACATCGATGCTCGATTAATGTTTTCGAATTTACAAACAAAAGTTTAGTAAAATGGACTTACTTGTTGGTGGTAGTAATGGTGCAGTGGGTGGGTCGCTGGTCATCGCTGGTGCGGTGAAAGTCTCGCTGGTTGGCAGTCGTGATATTTCTTTTTTTTTTTTTTTTTTTTTTTTTTGATTTTTGGTCTTGAACAAATTAAAAATAAGATTTATTTGTATTTGAGTATTATTTATAGATAAGGGTAAATTTGTCATCTTTGGTCTTGATGTAATAAAATTAGATTAATTTGCGGACTTGAACTAATAAACTCCTTGATATGGTTTTGAACTAATAAAAAAATGGGTTTGCATATAACGGCCGCCTAATTATAATCATCCTTCTCAACTATAAATCTTCATATACTTTTATTCTTATGGTGTCAAAAAGATTCAACATAATCTTTTAAATTATGTGGAATATTTATTCTATAATTTGTACTCATTTTATGCAAAAATGCAGTTTTTTATGCACCACAATCTGATATTTGCAAGCCAAGAGACACATCTTACGATCATCTTGTTTCAAAATGTGAAGCTCGAATGACGTAATACGGGCACAAACGGAAGATTATTCTGGATAATCTAGAAAATTCCATTAAATTTATTATTATAAATGTGGATATATAAAAAGATTTATAATTAAGGAAAACATATAATTATCTAAACACGAAGAGTCTTTTTATAATTTAAACTTATCTCAAAATTACGTCGTAATTTACCCAAAAAATTAATGTTGAGAGAACATAATAAAAGCACACAATTAGACAAACGTCAAAGAACAAGAAGCATGAAAACAAAAGCAAACAAACAAAAGTGAACCTTGCATTAATATATATATATATATATATATATATATATATATATATATATATATATATATATATATGTATATATATATTTAAAAATAAAAGAAATGGCATAGAAACTTGTGGGAGGCACCATCAACATCATCATTGAAACCAAACCCCTCTCTTCCAAACTATTCAATTCAATTTCTTTTTCGACCCTTTCAGAAAATCTCTTCATTACATTCATTTTTCCATTACCAAAGCTTCTCTCTCTACTTTCTCTCTCCTCCATACACTCTTGTCTTGTTTCTTGAAAATTCTGGGGCCCACATTATTATGCCTTGGCACTGTGTGAGAATGGTAGTTGGGTTTCAAGTATATTACTGTATTGTCTGAGATCTCCATTGAAGCAGCTTCAGAGAAAAGATGAGAACAGGTGGGTTTTCTTGTTCATCCTAATTACACACACTAGCACACACTGGGTTTCTCACACTTGCTTGTTTGTATCTATATTATTTTATTTTTTATTTTTTTCCATTTGTGTAATTACTTCCAAGATTCTGATACATGAGAAATCCCATTTAAGAGGAAATAAATGATCTGTAATAAAATTTAAAAATGAAAAAAAAAAAAAGGAAAAATAGAAGAAGGTTGGTGTTATTGAATTTAATTTGAAGGTTGTACTTTGTACTATCAATGTTGTACCTTGCTTTTATCACTGAAATCTTAGCCAATGTGGTATTGATTAATCGAAGCCTTTCGCACATTCGATTTCGTGAGAGGTCGTTGTTCGAATCCCTTTGAATGCGTTTGTTGTAGGACTGATTTATTTATTATTTTTTTAAAATTGTATAAAATAAAGGTGGTACCTTGATTATGATTTATGAATGTTACCTTAGATTTATGAGTTGCTATAAATTTATGATGTCCTAAGAAGAGATTTAAGGTAACATCTAACGGTTTTTTCGTTTATAATGTATAGGTATTCAAAAAAACAACACTGACTCGTCCCCCGGAACAAGTTTGGATGGAAGTTTCCGGAAGCTTGGATCCGGTACTTTTATTTGAATTCTTTTATAGTTATTTTCGGCTTATATCTTTGCTCAAAGAAAATACAGTAGAACCTCGATAAATTAATAACCTCGATTAAATAATAGTTTCTCCCAGTCCCGACTCGGTGAAAACGTGTTAAATTATTAACTCGATTATTTAATAATTCGCTAAATTAATAGAATTTATTTGGTCCCGACTGTATTAATTTATAGAGGTTTGTTTAATTTATAGAGGTTTAACTGTAGTTACTTATCCGTTCGATGTCCGAGTTGCTACCGAATGTCAATTTCATATCGAAATAATCAGTAATTTAGTAATCCTTCGTAAATGCTATAACAATATCCCGAATCGAATAATCGGTTTTCTACTTTTTGACATCTTTCTTGATTCTTCCTTGCAGCTTCTGCTCGTTCGAAATCAAGACCTTCAAGCAAATTCGTCCCGACTTCGAAAACGGTGCACAAACTCCTCAAGGAATATTCCACGAAGCTACTCGACCTCAACATATTCACGGAGCATCTCCAAGATTGGGTGACGGAGAATTTGTACAGTGAGGGCCCACACAATTTCGCCTCCCCCTTCTCACTCAACGAACTTCGCACATTCGACTTTGCATTGGAGGGTGTTTTATTTCAGCAGTTAATACGCATGCCTTGTCCACCTCATCACCCTTCAGACAACAACCTTAAAGAAGACGAGTTTCTTGCGCTCGAAGATTTTCTCCACACCGCCGCACAAGGGCTATGGCAAACTTTTTGGCACAAGAACAAACCTCTCCCGTTTTTCCTATCTTACCCTCGATATATAGGGTCCAAATTCTACACTATCGAGAAGGCGAAATCGAGGGGGAGGCTCGGTGGGCTTTGTGGGGCCGCTTGGACGTCGAAAAGTAAAGCTCGTTGGGATGATGTCGTCGAATTTGTGTTGTTCAAACAAAATCTTGACGAAAATGCCCTTTCTCCTAAGGTTATTTGTGAAGCTCTCTTCTATGGTGTTCATATGCTGTTTTCGAGGAGTTTGAGTGGGTACAAAAGTGTGGAAGAAACCGATTACGTTTTTGTGTCTATTCTCGACTCGAAATACGGAGGTGTTGTGAGAATTGGCGGTGATTTAGGCAAACTCGAGGTCGATCTGAGCGACCCTTATAAGTCCATGGCCGAGTGGATCACGCGTCATGCTGACGTCAGCGTCTCTTGTGTTGACCGAATATGGAACGGGATGGGGAATGTGAATTGGGGCGATTTGGGAACTCTGCAGGTACTTCTCGCGATGTATTACTCGATTGCTCGGTGGTGTGGGCCCGCGAGAAAGTCGATGGACTCGCTTGCGGAACACCATAGCATCCGCCTCGAGAAGCGGAGGATGGAAACTCAGCTCGTCGAGTATGAAAATGAAAACGAAAACGAAAACGCTCTTGTTCCTTATAGTAGCAATTATAATGGAGAAATAGTGGAAGTGGAGTACGAAAATAATCGGGATTCAAAAAGTAAAGGGGCCCGTTTGAACCTTGTTCGTGGAGAAATGTTGGTGGTGGAAGATCGGAATGAGGGCTTAAAGAGTTTTCGAGTAGAAGAGGTTGTTAATGATGGTGGTGGAAATAGTAATTTTTCGTATATTGCCGTCGCGGCCGACTCCTGCACGGCGGAGGTGCTGAATTTGTTCGTCGGGGCCCACTCGTCCCGTCTGGAGCCCTCATGGGAGGACATGAATCTTTGGTACCAAGTGCAACGGCAAACGAAAGTACTCAATATCTTGAAAGAAAACGGTGTTTCGAGTAAATGTTTGCCCGAGATTATAGCTTCGGGCCGGGTCGTCCATGCGGGCCCGTGCGATAAGAAGGGCCCGAACGGAGTTTGCGATCACCCGTGGTGCGGTACGCCGGTGCTCGCCACGCGCCCCGTCGGAGATCCGGTTTCTTGTGTTGTCGGCCCGTTTTCGAGCGACGAAGCGACCCGTTTATGCCGGGATTGTTTAGCGGGTTTGCGGAGCGCGAAAACGTTAAATATCCTCCACGGAGATATCCGACCCGAGAATGTGATCCGGGTCGACGAGTCGGGATTCGTTTTGGTCTCGTGGGGCCGGGCCGTATTGGAGGATCGAGATAGCCCTTCGCTAAATCTACGGTTCTCGTCTACCCACGCGCTACAACATGGGAAGCTGTGCCCTTCTTCGGATATCGAGAGTCTCGTTTATCTAGTGTATTTTGTTGTTGGTGGATCGATGAAGGAGCAAGATTCGATAGAGTCGGCGCTGAGGTGGCGGAAAAGGTGTTGGGAGAAGCGTGCGATCCAACGGAAGCTGGGACAGGTGTCGCCTATCCTGAAGGCGTTTGCCGATTATGTGGACAGCGTTCGTGGGACAACGTACGCCGTCGATTACGATGCTTGGCTGAGGAGATTGAATCGGGCCGTCGATGGATCGGACGACGAACGGGGTAAAATGGTCGAAGAGGGGGTGAGGGTTATGTGTGTGGCTGAGTCTTCGGGAACTTCTGGTGGTGGAAATTCTTTGTGATTTTTTTTTTTCTTTAATTTTCCTTGAGGAGTTTTTGAATTGATTGATAATTGCATTTCATTGATTCATTATTTACATAGTTTTCATCTGTATTCATTATTTAATCAAGTGAAATCAAGTTGTTTGATTAGAATTTTCCAGTGTTGTAGAAGAAGTTTGAAGTTGACTTTTTCAAAGGTGGTTTTGTACCGTAGATCTGTATCAATAATCACCCACTAAAAAGTAAAAACACATATATATTGGTGTGTGCTTTATTATGTGTAGATTAATGCAGAATCACTTGATATATTTCACTGAATGTAGCATCTACAAAATCTTACCATTTAGGGAGTTGCGCGTGCTAAAAAAAATGCGGTCATGCGTTTTTGTTCACAATATTAATAATACGAAAAGTTTTTAGCAATTGGATATAACACGGTGATACCGCATAAAATAAACTCGTTTCCAAATTGTCTCTATTTTATTTATATATTAGAGCTTTTGTAAGGTGTTGGGTGTAACTTTTGCTTCACCAAATATAGTTAATATTATAGTGAAAGCTACAAGATAAATTGTTGAGTTGTTTCACATATGAGAAACCAACAATATATAGTGAAACGCGGTTGTAAATTCATCTTAAGAGAACGACTCCTTGGTCGCAGTTCAATCCACCTAAAGGTTCAGCACCCTTTGATAACCGTTTTAAAAATGGATTCTAAAAACCTCTTGTGCTTTTCCAATTGCTAACAGATTCCATTGTGGATCTTATAGATATAGTTCAAAATTTAAAAAATCACAAAATATATGATACAAAACACCTAATACTCATTACGAGATTCAATACCCTATGTAGAAGCAATATTTAGAATTTAGAATGTCTAAAACGAAGGATTCAAATTGACTTTAT